GTCCTGGAAATACAACAGTAAACGGTCCTGGAAATACAACAGTAAACGGTCCTGGAAATACAACAGTAAACGGTAGACTTTGGGGCCCATTTTGATTTACTTTGAAAAATGTGTAGTGTATATATGAATTTTATTTGTCCCCATAAGAGGTGCTCAGTATTATTATATGTAGTTGCTAGTACGCACTGTTGCATCACATTGGTAAAAAAGAACAAACAATTGTAGATGCTGGCGATCTGAAAATAAAACTGAAATTGCTGGAGAAACTCAGCAGGGAAGAAAGCACAATTAACGTTTTGAGTTCAGTGACTCCTCATCAGTTCTGCTCAGTTTCGCCAGCACTGCCCGTTTTTGTTGCATTACATGGGATCAGGGAGACTCTCAATCTCTGTTGCATTTCCATGACAACACTTTGACAAATCAGAGTCAACGTGTCTGATCTGGGAGCTAAGATTAACAGTTAACTGTTCCTGCTGCATCTCCATGCTCAACCATTTAGCACCCATTTCTCATGCTGGATAAGTTGGTGTCTCTTTCCCAAGTTAATTTTCTGGCTTCCAAGTCCTGATGAATGCAAAACAAAAGCATTAACTTTGTCTCACCTTTTAACAACATTTTAAGTTCTCTACTGCCAAGCAATCATTTATCATAGATAGAATCATAGAATCCCTACAGCATGGAAGCAGGCTATTCAGCCCATCAAGTCCACACCGACCCTCTGAAAAGCATCCCACCCAGATCCATACTCCTACCTATCCCTGTAACCCTGTGGTTCCCATGGCTAATGCACCTAGTCTGCACTTCCATTGACACAATGGGCAATTTAGAATGGCCAATCCACCTAACCTGCTGGACTGTGGGAGGAAACCAGAGCACCCAGAGGAAACCCACGCAGACATGGGGAGAATGTGCAAACTCCACACAGACAGTCACCCGAGGGTGGAATCGAACCTGGGTCCCTGGCACTGAGGCAGCAGTACTAACCACTGAGCCACTTATACTGTCCTTGGTGCATCCTCCAGTTATAAATAATATAGCAGTGGTACTGTTCTCCCTAATCAGCTATTAACTCTGAATAAACAACAGTATCTGTTTTTGAGTGTGCAGTTTCCCAGGGATCAGTTGTGGTTGTGACATTATAAACTAGAGGTGATTATTACTGCAGTCTGTGCTTCTCTGAGATAGACATAATCACACTTCAATTAGGTAGTGCAATGCCTATTAGCATCTGCTGGAACATAAATTACAGGGAAATAAACACCCATTGCCCTATTATCTTCAGATTAAGTTGAGGATACTAGATCTTTATACCTGGCTAACTTAAATTTCTTGGCAGAGACACTCAACAGTGTCCATTTATTCTTCAATTATATGGCAGGTTATTAAATGTAAAATTTTTGCCTTTGTACTATTGGTGTTGTATTAGTGCCTACAGCATCATTTTTTTTTAAAGTCTGCACTGCTTTTCTGGTCAAAAACGTACATTTTGGTTCTTTTGAGCACAGGAGAAAGGATTTGTGAACTACTATGGACCTCAGCGATTCGGCCTAGGACAGAATGTTCAGGCAGATCAAGTTGGTTTGGCTCTTCTCGAGGGAAAATTGGTAAGACCCCTTTCCATGTTAAATGTTTAATCGTTTGTATGTGTATGTAGGTCAGGAGCGAATATTGCTGAGTGCGTTCTTGCAAATGTCAGACTTTGCACCTGCTATGCAGATTGTGGTTCTCACAAGGCCTCTCAGCTTGAGATTTTATGCTTTAACAACTCCTTGTTGTGTCACCATAGGTGTGCAGCTAGTCTAGAACTGAAGTTAACTTGTGAATGGTGAATGGCATCATGGGATCAGGCGAAATTTTATCAGTGACTATGCAGAATCAAGAATGGAATATTCACGACGTCATTGGTTTATTGCCAAAAGTTTGTAAGGTTAAAAATGCAATTAAAATGATGCATTTAAGGGAAAGGTGGATGAACACATGCAGGACAAGGCAAAGGAGGGTTATGCAGATAGGATTGGATGGGCACTCATGTGATGTGCAGCCACAAGTATACAACTGTGGAATAAATGGCACACTTCTGTGCTGGAAATGCTGCCTTAAAAAAAATCAATGCATTTTCTGCATGGACAGTATCTGCTGCAAATATATTTGAACTTCAGACGCAATCTTCTGATTTTCTGAAGAAGGGTCTAGGCCCGAAACATCAGCTTTCCTGCTCCTCTGATGCTGCTTGGCCTGCTGTGTTCATCCAGCTCTACACCTTGTTATATCAAAGTTAGAAATGTAATAGGTTTCTAAATTTCTTCAGTTCTGATACCTGATGATTTCTTTTAGATTTCCAGTGCCTACATTATTTTCCTTTTGTTATTTGGGAATGAATACCACTTCAGTGGAGCTAATGTTTGGTTAATGTTGACAGACCTCCTGTGACAGTGGGAAATGATGCACTTTCCTTATCGCACACTGACTGTTGGATTGAGAAGCTATTGGTTGGCATGAATCTGAAGGAAAGGTTAATTATACTTGGCTTTTGTGAGCCAAGGACACCCCACAGAGCTTCACAAACCAGGAAGTACTGCAGTCACTGTGCCAATGTAGGCAAACACAGCAGCTAGTTGGAACAGAAGGTTCTGTTGGGAATGAGATATTAAAAAATCATTTTGTTTTAGTGATGATGTTTGAGGTACAAACTTTCAGTTAGATTCTGGGAAAAACTCCCTTGCTGTTTTTAGAGTTGTGCTGTGGGACCTTCTATATCAATTTGAGAGGGCAGATAAAGTTTCTCTTTAATATCTACAATGCAGATAATTCACTCTTACTGCAAAATTTTCTTCTTTCCTGTGGCTTTTCTTTTGAAAAGAAGAAATGGTCTGTGATTTTCCTGTCCCCTCTATGGTACAGCAGACTCAGTGGGCTGATTGGCCTACGTGTTCCCATGTGTGACGCCTTACATCAGTTTAATGTGCAAGGTGCAGTTTCAGTCTTTCCTTTCAGTGACCTCTTGTGGTTCAGTATGGAACTTGAGAAAATGACAAGGTAGCCCACTGCATTCTTAACTGCAACGTGTTTGTGTATGTGTTGTCAATTAGGTGGTCATAAAATCAATTTAGGACAAGGCTGCTCATAATTGGGTTAGTTTAAAGTCACCTAATATTAGTGGTGATTGCCAAGACTCTGTTAAACATTACCTGGATACTGCTTTGGGCATGTTAAGGGCTAGTTGTGCCTTTGGGGTAATTTGTCCTTTATGAAACCTGAACACCTAAAGTCAAATGATTATTTGCCTGACTCTGCCCATAGCAAAACTTGTACCAGGTTCTCTTCACCCATCACGCCTATGCTGCAGGACCTACATTGGCTCTCGGTGTAGCAACAATTCAATTTTAAATTTCCCAGTTTTGTTTCAAAATCCCTCTCCGGCCTCTACAGTTGCCTTGAGCCCTTGGACGTTGTACGGTCTGTGCTCCTGCAACTCCCCTCTTGCACATCTGCGACTTTCATTTCTCTACTGTACCTTCAGCTGCCCAAGCACCAAGCTCTGAAACTTTCAATATACCTTGTCACCTCTACCTCCCTGTCTTTATTCAAATGTTCCTTTAAACTCTTTGTTCAAGTGTTTGACTATCTGCCCTAATACCTTGTTTAGCTCACGTCGTCTTATAGTCCTGAGTAACACCATGTGATGTTTTTTATGTTAGCAGTGTGAATGTAAATGCTAATGCTATTGGTGCAAGAGTGGTGAATTATAAAATTCCTGACAGATCTTTTGCATATGTAATCTATTTAGGTGGAGGCTGTGCATTTAGTCTTTACACCTGAAGAAGGAGATGACCCTGTCAATCAGGCCAAGAGACATTTTATTCAGACTGGTAAGGTTCAGTTTCCACGATCAGAATTCTTTTTTTATTTGTAACCTGCTCTCATTAACAAACAGTTGGATATTAAATATAACAGTGTGGAGCTGGAGGAACACAGCAGGCCAGGCAGCATCAGATGCTGCGTGGTGTGCGGTGTTCCTCTAGCTCCACACTGTTATCTCGGACTCCAGCATTGGCAATTCTTGCTATCGTTGATATTGAATATATTTTGTATGGAACCTTGCAGAATAGTAGAGGCCATTCAGCCCACTATGCTTGTCTTAGCCCTTAGTAAGAACATCCATTTAGACCTATTCTCTATTTTTCCATATTCCTGCAAATACTTCACTTTCAAACATATTTTTAATAAAATTTTTAAGGTTATCATTGAATCTGCTGTCACTTCCTTTTTCAGCAATGCAGTCCGGATCATCATCTCACTGCATTTAACAAAACCTTCAGAACTATTGGTTCTTTGTGTCAGTTACATTTAATGTCCTCTGGTTATGGATCCAAACATGATAGATTGTTATTTCTGAGTAAAAAGTTGGATTGAATTAGCATCAAATCTGCAGAGTCAAAGCATTCAATGGATTACTTTTTGCAATTATGGCTGTCCATAGCTTGTGCTTGCAAAATGCAAAACAAAGGCTCAGACTTTTTAATTCCAAAACAGTCTTGGCTTCCTGTTTACCTTCAGTCAGCTGACACTGTCTTGGAAGTTAGCACAGGGGTTCCCGAGGGGTATGCCAATGTTTCGAGGGTTTTCTCATGCAAAGGTTTAAACACCACTGGACTGTGCACTGTCACTGTACCACTAAGATCTTCGACGTCATATCAATACTGTTTTCTCTTCTTCAGGGGATGCCAAAGGGACACTTGCTTTGATGCCAGAGTACAAAACGAGAGAGCGAATGATGTTGCGTGCATTAAACCGCTATGGCAACAATCGGGAGGGTTGTGCCCGGGCTTGGCTTAGTTTGCCACACTCCATGCGTGTACTTTACATCCACTCGTATTGCAGTAAGGTCTGGAATAAAGCTGCATCTTTTCGCTTGAAAACTTACGACCTGAAAGTTGTAGAGGGAGACTTGGTTGCCTGTGATAATCTCGAGTGGGATCCATCGAATCAGGATAATTCTGTAAGTTTTAAAATGGATTCTGTTTTCAAATTAGTGCAGTACTTTTATTTCAATAATTTCCTGTCGTTTGCTGCACTTTAGCACCGTTACATTGCAGGAGATATTGAAGGAAACACCCACCACGTTAATCTAATTTTCCCTTTCTGTGTTATATAAAAATGATTTCCAGTGAGCATCACTGTCAGCCTTTCCCCATTATCTGCACTGCATTTATTTCCATGTGCCAATTCAGAAAATATTCTAATCTTCATTGTGAGAAGTGGCGGATTCCCTCCCTAGCAGTGAAAACAAACACATTGCAAAACAAATCAATTTGCCTTTTCAAATTTCTTTGGCACTTTAGACAAGCCAGAAAACAAAAGTGTTCGAATCTGACCTATCCTGCATTACTGTAGTGTACTGAGCTGGATTGGATGTGGTGATGTGAACTAAATGTGATATGTATGCAGGTTGCCTCTTACTACAACAGTCTGATTATCCTAAGGTCTGTGTCTAGATATATGTAGATGAACTGGAATAGAATGCAGGGTGGTTGCTGATGTTGGGGTTTCTGATCGATATTCATCCGCAATGTCTCCTAACAACAGAAAAGGGTCAGCCATGACCAAAGACAGAAGTTGCTGGAAGCTCAGCATCTGTCATTAAAAACTCCCAGTTAACATTTTGGGTCCAGTGACCCTTCCTCACCGGATCCGAAGCGTTAACTCTGTTTTTTCCTTAACAGGTGCTGCCAGACTTCTGCTGAACTTCCTGCAATTTCTGTTTTTGTTCCTGACCTACAGCATCCACAGTTTTTTCAGTTTTTAGCTCAGCCATGACACTGGATTCTAGTGGTCCATGAGGAGAGGAGTTAGGACTTTGCACGGTTACAATGAGCCTTTGTGTTTAAGTTATTTCCACTTCTGTTTTTGAACCCATCATGACCAAAGCCAGTGTATTCAGATCAAGATGATTGCATCCACTTCAACAAGCACATCAAGAAACTGCACACTGACTCACAGCTGCCACTGATATTTCCTGAGGAGATGGGGGATTATCAATCATTCCTAATACAAGCAACGTTTCCTATGGAACTAAATTTGGCTGTGCTTCCTCCTCATATATCTAATGTTAGATTTTCTATTGTTGCCATGCCCCACTGATGAAGGATAACTATTACTTGATATAGTTATCAAGTAATAACTATAGTCAACCTCAAGGGGTAATATCACCATCTATTAATCCAGAGATCCAGGAAATGTTCTGGGGACCCAGGTTCGTATCCTGCCACTGCAGATAGTGGAATTTGAATTCAATAAATGTCTGGAATTAACAGTCTGAAACTAACCATGAAACCATTGTTGATTGTCGGAAAAACCCATCTGATTCATTAATGACCTTTCACAAAGGAAACTGCTGTGCTTGCCTCGCCTGGCCATGTGACTCCAGACTCTTCATGTGGTTGCGGGGGGGACGAGACTGGCAATTTAACATTCTGGGGGAAAAGGCTCTTTAGGAATGATGGGCGTGTTGGGGGGACGGTGTGCAAAAGTGGAGATGGTGTTGCATTATTAGTTAGGTGTGCAGTTTCTGCAGTAAGGAGGGGTGTTTTCTTGCAAAGTGGTCAGATGAGGCTTTGGGGGTAGAACTTAGGAAGAAATAAGGGGTGGTGACACTGTTCGGAGTGTATTATAGGCCCCAAATACAGTCACAACTGTAATGTAAATGATGCAAAAATAATAATAGGTCAATTATATTAGGGAAATTTAAACTACCCCAATATTAATTGGGAATAATTGTAGTATAAAGAGTTTAGAAGGGACAGTTTTTCTGAAATCTATACAGGAGAGCTATTTGTGTCAACATTGTAGATAGTCCTACAAGCGATGGTGCAGTGCTGGACCTAATTCTGGAGAATGAATCCAGACAGGTGTTTGAGGTGTCAGTGGGGAGCACTTTAGAGATAGTGACCACAACACCGTATGTTTTAAGTTTGGTGTGGAAAAGGAGAAAGAAGGTCTCAGAAAAGGGTTTTGGATTGGAGTAAGGGAGAATTTATTAAAATAAGGCAGGATCTGGCCAAAGTAGACTGGGAACAGCTACTTGGTGACTTTACAGCAGAACACCGGGAGCTGTTTAAAAAGGTTCTGGAGGAGTACAGGCCCAACATGTTCCCTTTTAAGGTGAAATGTAGCAGAACCCTGGATGTGTAGGTATGTTGGTGACTGGATCAAGAAGAAAAGAGGGGTGCTTAACAGATATGAAGGAAGCAAAACACAGGGACCCTGGAGGAGTATAGGGAGTGCAGAGGGGAATTCAAGAAAGCAATTAGGAGAGCAGAGAGGAGCCATGAGAAATTCCTAGTGGGCAAGATCAGGTAGAATCACAATATTTTTTACAAGTATGTCAAGAGGAAGAAAATAACCAGGGGAAGAATAAGGCCAATTGGGGACCAAGGGGGCAATCTGTGCGTGAAGCCAGAGGACGTTGGTAGAGTGTTAAATGAAAACTTCACATTTGTCTTTACTTGGGAAAAGGAAGGTGCAAATACTGAATTCGAGAAGATAGACTTTTGCTGTTCTTAAGCAGATTGATACAAGAAGTGAGGTGGTTTTGGAACTTTTGGCAGATTTAAAAGTGCACAGATCCCCAAGTTCAGATGAGGTGTATCCCAGATTGCTGTGGAAGATGAGGGATAAATTTATAGGAACCCTAACCCAAATTTTTTTTAAATGTCTCTGGCCACAAGAGGAGGTGAGGTGTCAGAGGACTGGAGGACAGTTAATATGGTTCCAGTGAGTCTAACATCCATGGTAGGGAAACTATTGGAGAAAGTTCTGAAGGAGAGAATCTCCACTTGGACAGGCAAGGTTTGATCAAGGATATGTGGTGTGGCTTCATCAGAAGGAGATCATGCCAAACAGATCTAGTGGAATTTTTCAAGAAGGTGACCAAGTGTTTGGGTAAGGCAGTTGATGTAATTTATACGGATTTCAGCAGGACCTTTAACAAGGTCCCACATGGGAGATGGATAAAGAAGATAAAAGTTCATGGGATCTGGGTAACTCGGCAAGTTGGAACCAAAATTGGCTTAGTAGGCAAGAGATGGAGGGTGGTGGTAGAAGGCTGTTCATGTGACTGGAGGCCTGTGTGCGGTGCTGGGTCCAATGTTGTTTATGATATTCATCAACAATGTTGGTGAGAATGTGGGGAAGGGATGATAAGTAAATTTGCGATGATACAAAGATTGGCCAGATGGTTTACAGGAAGGTGCTAGGTTGCAGGAGGATATAAACGGACTGGTCAGATGGGCAGATCAGTGGCAGATGGAACTTAATCTTGAAAAGTGAGAGGTGATACACTTTAGAAGTAACAAGACAATGGAGTACTCAATGAGTGGCAGGACACCAAGGAAGTTGAGGAACAGAGGGATCTTGTGGTGCTTGTCCACTGATTCCTGAAGGCAGCAGGACAGGGTTAATTGGGCAGTTAAGGCAGCATATGGGACATGTGCTTTTATCAGTCATGGTGTAGGTTATAAGTGTAGGGAGTTAATGTTGGAACTGTACAGAACTTTGGTTAGGCCACAGCTGGAGTACTTTGTGCAGCTCCGGTCACCGCACTGTAGGAAGGATGTGATTGTGCTGGAGGGAGTGCAGAGGAGATTCATCGGGATGTTGACTGGGATAGGGCATCTCGGTGATGGGGAGAGGCTGGATCAGCTCGGGTTGCTTTCTTTAGAGCAGAGCAGGTGGAAGGGGGACCTGATAGAGGTGTGTAGGATTGAGGGGCATGGACAGGGTGGATGGAAAGCAGCTGTTCCCCTTTATCAAAAGGTCAGTAGGAAGGGAGCATATATTTCAAGTGAAATAAGGTTTAGAGGGGATTTGAGGAAAGTTTTTTTTTCCACCTAGAGGGTGGTGAGAGTCTGCAATATACTGCCTGGAAAGGTAGTTGAGGAGGGAAACTTTCTGGATTCTTTTAAAAAGTACTTGGATGAGCATTTGAAGTGTCATAACATTCAAGGCTATGGGCCTAATGTGAGAAAGTAGGATGAGGGTTGGTAGTAATATATTTTTGGTAGTACACACTCGATGGGCTGAAGGGCCTGTTCCGTACTGTGTAATTCTATGATTCTGCCTGCTCTCTGGGCACTTACAGACTGCCAATAAATGCTAGCCTAGCCAGCAACGCCCACATCAAGTGAACAAATGAAGAAAAACATCACCCGTCTCCACTGCTTGCTTCAGCTTATTGGCTGCCTTTGATGATTCCTAACTGCAAATGCTTCTCTGGCCGGCTTTCTACCTTCTGTGAACTTGAGCTCGCCCTCAATTTTGCTTGTATTTTAACCCACGTCATGCCTTGCTCACCCATAGTTCCTCTGCTCCCATTAGCTAGTAGGGCTCATCTTATAATTCTTCTCATGTTTAATCCGCTTCACGACTCTTTCTATCTTTCTTCAGCTTTACGGACATCAAGGAACTCTGTGTCCCTTGAATTCTGGCCTTTTTCCTGTATCTCTATTTCCATCAGCCATTGATGACACTAACCTCAGCCATCCATACTAACTGCCCTTTCTAAATCTCTCTACCTCAGCTCTCTGTTGCCTCCCTCAAGACCTTGTGGAACCTTCCTTCTTAAGCCAAGCTTTTTGTCATATATCCTTTTTTTAAAATTCACTCCTAGGACGTGGGCATCGCCAGCTGGCCACCATTTACTGCCTGCCCTCATTGCCCTTGAGATGGTGTTGGTGAACTGCCTTTTTTTTAATTAATTCGTGGGTTGTGGGTGTCACTGGGTCAGCATTCATTGCCTCTGCTTGATTAAGAGTCATCCACATTGGTCCGTGTCTGAGTCCGGGCAAGACCAGGTAAGAATGGCTGTTTCCTCCCCTAAAGGCCATTAATGAACTAGATGGGTTTTTCCTGATAATCGTTTCTCGGCCACCATTAGAGATAAACCATGGCAGGATTCAAACCTATGTCCCCAGAACATTACCTGAGTCTCTGGATTAATAATCTAGTGATAACACCACTAGGCTACGGCCTCCCCTTGAAATTCTTGAACCGCTGCGGTCCATCTTTCAAATTAAAGAACAGAAATCCAGATTGCAAGTAGCTGCAAATCCAGCCAGTGGGCAGAATCATCCTAATATCCATCTCCCTTTGCTCAGAGCCAGTTTTTAATTCAAATCTTGCTATCCTCCTGTGAAGCACCTCAGAGCATTTAATTAATTTCCAGGCATTATGTAAATGCAAGTTGTTATTGAATCAGCTGAGGATTAAATTGTTGGATTAGTTCAGGTGGTTCTGTTGGAAATGTCTTCTAAACTCTGTACTACAATTTCACTAACCCGTTGCCCTGCGTGAGAGAGTTTCTGCATGGGTGCTGCCAGTACTTACAAGCAATGCAAATAATTACTCACATCCAGCTTAAATTTTTAAGGGACAAAGGAATCGTTGACTGTAACTGTGAGATTTCCCAAAACATACACTCAATGTCTGCTGCCATGTCTAAGCAGGAAGTCTGCCTTGGTATTTCTTTGCTCTGGAACAGTAATAGGAGAATGATGCAAGCATGCATTAATAGCACATACACTGAGAGCCTTGTCTAAATTATTCGACAGCGGTCCCACTGCTTCTTTCAGCTCTTGCAGTAAAATACTGCAAGTGACAAATGTTGACTGACACTAGACTGCAATCGAAGAATTCAGAATTCATCAAGTTTCGTTTGTAAATCAAATGCTACCAGTCATAGCATTGACAATTGTCACCTTCCTGTGTCATTTTTGATGGGACCAGATCAATGCAAATGATTCTGTGGCACCGTCCAAAGATGACGAGGAGATTTCTCCTTAAATTCCAGCCAGTAACAATCCTTCAACATTGTAATCATATTATTAATTATTGATTCATCAATTTGTGGCATAGAGTCAGAGTCATACAGCATGGAAACCCTTCGGTCCAATCAGTCCATGCCGATCGTAATCCCAAACTAAACTAGCCCCACCAACCTGCACTGAGCTCATATCCCTCCAAACCTTTCCTATTCTTGTACTCATCCAAATGTTTAAGTGTTGTAATTCTACCTACATCCACCACTGCCTCTGGAAGTTCGTTCCACATGTGTACCACTCTGTGTAAAAATGAAAAGCCTCTCTTGTATTTTTTAAGTCTTTCTTCTCTCAACTTGAAAATATGCCCCCGGTCTTTAAATCCCCCATCCTTGGGAAAAGACACCTGCCATACAACTTACCCATACCCCTCATGGTTTTATAAACCTCTATAAGGTCACCTGTCAACACTCCAGTGATAAAAGTCCCAGTCTATCCAGTCTCTCCTTGTAACTCAAACTCTCCAGTCCTGGTAACATCCTGGTAAATCTCTTCTGGATCCTCCTCTTAATAATATACTGCCTATAACCGGGCAACCAGAACTGGCATCTTGGATACCAAGTGAATTAAGGGATATGGGGTTGTTCAGCATCGTGGAATTGCTGTAGAAAATGTTCCATGTTTATATTACATGGCAGAGCTAGCTCAAGGGAACTACCCTTGCTTTTGTTTCTTATATTCCTGCTGTCCACAAATTAGCCACTTCATTTCCTATACTGCAACATTGCAGACACCTTTATAAATTGTCTGTGAAAGGCTTTGGCATGTGTGTGCTTGTGAAAAGCATTTTATAGATGCAACTTAAATTAACCCTTGTGACATGATTTCATGATTTTATCTGCACACTTGTTTTGGAAGATGAAAAGCATACTGCTCATATGTTTATGGGATTTGACGTATTTTTTGCATTTATTGGAATCTACTTATGATATATTTTTAGGATTTGATTTGTAGTGAAGAGTTATTGTGACACTTGTGACTGAAGAGAGCATTGACCCTGTTGCAGCAAATGTATCAGCTAAATATCTGTGCAGTTTTCCATTATACAACACCTATAAATAGCCCTTAAGATCTCTTGAGTGACAATCAAACTGCAGGATGAATTTATATTTTGGAAAATATTCATGTTAACTTTGCAGGATCACAAATCATTTTTTGGTGGAGTGTGCACTTAGTTTTTGAGTCCAGGTCCACAAGTTGCAGAACTCATTGCAAGCAAATTACGCACATCACTGTGAATTAAGTTAATACTGCAGTCTACGATGGGATTGGCTTTGGATTTATCATGTATTGGTTTAATTCTGTATATTTTTTCTCTGAAAACTGTTTGCGAATACCATTCAGTCATTCAGTATCTGCTGTAGCAAACTGTCACATTGTTTAGAAAAACAAGGCAGTATTTTTCTGTTTAATTTTCCTGGAGATTTGTGTATTAAAATGTGCCGCACTTTCATTATTTCCACTCAGCAGGTGCACATTGTGACAACTGAAGATCTGAAGTCAAACATTTACTCCATTAACCAAGTAAGGCCAATTCCCTTATTCAGTCTTCATTAACTCATCCCATTATTTTCTTGAACAGTTTGCAGGAGTGAGTTTGAAGGTGTTTTATACACAAGATGCAACTTTGCTCATTATTGAAGGTGTTGTTGATTGGATACTAGAAAATTATATGAAAAACACCTATTTAGGATTTGCAAAAATGTAACATTTCATCTAGACTGCCCTTTAGCTTACTTCCTTGATTTATTTTAGAAAAAACAATTTTGGCATGAACCAAATCCCAGAGATGATACTTCCTCTCTCTCTCTCTCTCTCTCTCGCGTCTGAAGGTTGAGTTTTAAATCACATTTCAAGACTTAAAAATATTTATCTACGCTTACCCATTTTGAGATTCAAATCACACCCATCCTCTCGGGTCATCCTAAAAGGACCCAGCTTTATTCAGAGACGTGAGGGGGAGTTTTCCCGACATCCTGGTTAATGGTAACCCCTCAAACAGCACCAGTAAAACTGATTAACTGGCTGTTTAACCTCAGTGCTGTTTGTGGGGACCTTTTATTGTACTCCTGTACTCGTACAAATTAAAGATACAAATTCAAATACTAACTTTCAATGCTTTCTTTTAAAATTATTTTTTAAACAGTTACTAACCTGATTTCTGCCTCTGCTACTTTCAGTAAGCATGAGTTCTTTAATGATAGTTGGTTAAATTGTACTGTGATAATGGCTTCTTTTTAATTAAAGGTCGTTCTTCCAATGCCTGGTAACAGTGTCCAGTATCCATGCAACAAGCTGGCATTGTGGTATCAGGAAACTTTGGCTCAGGATGGACTGAAGGAATGTAAGTTTAGAATCCCTGCATTGCAACTGAACATTCCTGGATGCTACCGGCGCCTCCTAGCACAACCTCAGCAACTGCTGTTTCGGTGGTTAGAGGACAAGGAAGTTCCTTTTACAAAAGAAGGCTGTGAACTTGTAACTGATGACTCCAAACAGCCTCACGAAGTGAGAGACTCTCTTTCTGTGTCCTTCAGCCTGAATTCGTCATGCTATGCGACAGTCTGTTTGAGAGAAATCATGAAATGCAACGTGTAATTCTTTTCAATTTATTGTTATTAACTTTAGCCACAGTCTGCCAATCTTCCATATTGTTACAGAAGGTTAGAATGCGTTTTGGATATTTGTTTCTGTGAAAGCCACTCAAGAACAAGTGATGTACTTCTATGTACCACTGTTCACACAGTTGAAGCTGTTACGAATTTATTTGGTTCATCAAAGTGGGAGAGTGGCAGTGGTCAGAGGAATCATGCTGAAAGACAGCCCCAGATGTTGAGAAGGCATGAGGGGGGATGGAAACTTTCTTCCAGAAACATGGGGCCAATCATAAGAAGAATGCTCTGTCTGCTGCCCATCCAACATTTGCGCAAGGTCTGAAAAGGTTCCACCCTCTCACCTAGAAATGGCGCAAAACTAAAGGAAGACAGATAGCAAGAAAAATAGAAGGAGAAAGCTGTAGGCAAAGACTCCAGTTGCAGGTGAGACAAGCCAAGTCGAGGGACCTGACTAAATATACACTTCAGGCATGGAACCTTTGTCCTTTGGCTGTTCATAGTGTACACTTGTCAAGTGTCACCCCAGAGATTGTTACAGGCCTTGACCAATCGAACAGTTGGTTTAGATAGAGCAAAGTTATCTTGAATACTGACAGATTTTCACAGCATAAACTAGGAGTGGCCTGTGTTACCTGCTCCTGAAATTTAAGGTGTCCTCCTGCTCTGTATTCCTAATATTTAGAATTAGCAGACATAAAACGTGTACGTATTTTTTTAAGATAACAAGGTGTAGAACTGGATGAACACAGCAGGCCAAGCAGCATCAGAGGAGCAGGAAAGCTGAGGTTTTGGGTCTGGACACTTCTTCAGAAACGTCAGCTTTCCTGCTCCTCTGTTGCTTGGCCGCCTGTGTTCATCCAGCTCTACACCTTGTTATCTCAGACTCTCCAGCATCGGCAGTTCCCATTATCTCTGAACATTTTTTTTTTTAAGAACTAGTTTTTCCACTGGAGGACTGAAAGATAATCCGGTGTCTGTCATCCAAGCACCGTTTCATAATATACAAAGTTAATGAAGACAAACAACCACTTAACATTGTGGAGAGCATAGCAACAAGATGTGCATGTATGCTGCCAATACAGCATCGATGGAAACTGTTTGTTTTCAGTAGCAGTAGTGTACATGCAACCTGAACCCAAAGTCAGGATGTTCATCCAGCGCTACACCTTGTTACCTGGATTGAGACTGTGTTTTACTCAGAATCATTAAAACAGGTACAGCACAACAGAAGGTCACATGGCTCCTCATGTCTGAGCTCTCTGACCGAGAAGTTCAGCAAGTTGCATTCCCTCACCCTTTCTCCTGCATAATTCTTTCTTTGGGTGTTTATTCAATATCTTTTTTTAAACAAAAGCCCGATTGTATCTGACTTCACCATGCTGCCAGGCCATGCATTCCATAATCTAACCATTCACTTCATGCTTAAGAGTCAGGTCAGCTCTTCGCAACCAGAAATTTAAACTTGCTAGTGTGAGCACAACCATAATTACATCCTTTCGGTGAGTCTGTAAAACCAGAATGTACATAGAGGAGGAGATGTTTTAAAAAACAGGTGCCTACTTTTAATGTTCTTTTTAAGTTGTAAGTTGGAATCAAAAATTGTTTCCAGAGTTCACATACGTAGCTTGCAAATCTATCTCAGTGTACTGAATTACTTACCTTTTCTTCTTTTTAAGATAAAAAGATCTTCCCTTGATAAAATGTCTGGTCTGTACACATCTATAAACCCAGCCTCCAAAGTAACTACATGTTCCAATGTTCAAGAGGGGAGTGGTAGATAAAAAATTGCAATAGTTTGTCTTTATTAACACCGTTTATCTGCGATTGAATGAAGAATAATCAACTTTTTAAATTCACTCGTGGGATTTGGGCATTGCTGGGTGGCCAGTATTTCTTGCCCGTCCCTAGTTGCCCTTGAGAAGGTGGTGGTGAGCTGCCTTCTTGAATCGATATAATCCACCTGCTGTAGGTTGACCCAAATTGCCATTAGAGGATTTTGACCCAGTGACAGCGAAAGAAGAGTGATATATTTCAAAGTCAGGATGGTGATTGGCTTGGAGGGGAACTTTGAGGTAGTGATGTTACCATGTACCTGCTGCCCTTGTCCTTCTAGATGAAAGTGGTCGTGGGTTGGAGGGTGCCATCTGAGGATCTTTGGTGAATTTTCTGCCGTGCATCTTGTGAATAGTACACACTGCTGCTACTGGCCGTGCATTATGGAGGGAGTGGATGCTTGTGAATGTATTACCAATCAAGCAGGTTGCTTTGCCTGGATAGTATCGAGCTTCTTGAGTATTGTTGGAGCTGCACCCATCCAGCCAAATGGGGATAATTCCATCACACTCCTGATCTTTGCCTTGTAGATGGTAGACAGGTATTGCCTGGCTTTATATATCATGAATGTTACTTGCCACTTGTCAGCCCAAGCATGGATATTGTCCAGATCTTTACAGTCATAGAGTAATACAGCATGCAAACAGGCCCTTCGGTCCAGCCCGGTCCATGCTGACTACGGTGCCCACCCAGCTAGTTCCAATAGCCCGTACTTGGTCCATATCCCTCTCAACCCTTCCCGTCCATGTAGCTCTCCAAATGTTTTTTAAATGTTGCTATTGTACCTGCCTCAACCACTTTCTCTGGCAGCCCATTCCGTAAACACACCACTCTGTGTGAAGAAGTTGCCCCTGAGGTCCTCCTTAAATCTTTCCCTACTCATCTTAAACCTATGCCCTCGCGTTTTCAATAGAAAAAGACTATATGCATTCATTCTATCTATGCCCCTTATGTTTTTATACACCTTAATAAGGTCACCCCTCATTCTCCTATGTTCCTTGAAATAAAGTCCTATCCTGGCCAACCTCTCCTTTATAACTCTTCTTTGCACACTTTCTAGTTTAACTATGTCTTTCCTATAACAGGGTGACCAAAACTGTACACAATACTCTAAGTGCGGCCTCACCAACAACTTATACAACTGTAACGTAACGTCCCAACTCCTAAACTCAATGCCTTGACTGTTGAAGGCCAGCATGCTAAATGCCTTCTTCCCCACCCTGTCCACCTGTGATGCTGCTTTCAACGAACTATGTACTTGTACTCCTAGGTCCCTCTGTTCCACAACACTCCCTGAGGACCTTACCATTTACTGTATAAGTCCTACCTTGGTTTGACTTTCCAAAGTACAACACCTCACATTTATCTGTATTGAATTGCATTTGCCAATCCTCAGCCCACTTCACCATCTGATCAAGATCCCCCTGTAATTTTTGATAACCTTCCTCTTTATCATTGATACCCCATAATTTTCTATCATCTGCAAACTTACTAATCATGCTTTGTACATTCACATCCAGATCATTTATGTAAATAACAAATAACAAATAACTAAGGTCCCAGCACCGACCCCTTTGGTACACCACTAGTCACAGGTCTCTAGTCCGAGAAACAACCTACAACCATCACCTTCTGCTTCCTACCATTGAGCTAATTTTGAGTCCAATGACTAGCCTGCCGTGCTTGTTGCATTTGAACATGGACTGCTTTAGTTTCTGAGGACCCACGAATGGTGCTGCACACATTGTGTAGTCATTGGTGAACTTCACCTTATCTGACCTTGTGATAAAGGGAAGGTTACTGATGAAGCAGCTGAAGATGGTTGGGCCTAGGACACTACCCTGAGGAACTCCGGCAGAGATGCCTGGAGCTAAGATGTGTGACCTCCAACCGACACAACCATTTTCCTCTGTGCCATGTAGGACTCCACCCAGTGGAGAGTTGACCCCTGGTACCCTAGCAAAATTGGAATAATCGGGCTCCTTGGTGCCAGACTTAGTTAAATGTGACCTTGATGTCAAGGGCCGTCACACATTTAGCTCTTTTGTCCATGTTTGAACCAGGGCTGCAATGAGGTCAGGAGCTGAGTGGCCCTGGCAGAACCCAAACTGGGCAACACTGAGCAGGTGCTGCTTGATAGCACTGTTGATGACACTTTCTATCACTTCACTGATAATTTAGAGTAGGCTGATGGGGCGGTAATTGGCCGGGTTGGATTTGTCCTGCTTTTTGTGTACAGGACATACCTTGGCAATTTTCCATATTGTCAGGTAGATGCCAATGTTGTAACTGTACTGGAAGAACTTGACTGGCGGAGCAGCAAATTGTTGTTATGGCCCACAGCCTTTGCAGTGTCCAGTGTCTCCAACCGTTTCTTGATATCATGTGGAGTGAATCGAATTGGCTGAAGACTGGTATCTGTAATGCTGGGGACCACTGAAGGAGGCAGAGATGAATCATCCACTTGGCACTTCTGGCTGAAGATTGCTGCGAATGCTTCAGCCTTATCTTTCCATATACTGAAGTATACTGTGTCCATATACTAGGCTTTTTAGCTTACTGTTTGAAGAGCAGGATCTTCCAGTCTTAAACAAAAGATAATGTATTAGAAATTACAAGTGTGCAATCATTTATCAAATATTGACTTTTAAATGAAATACATTATGTCTGTGTAATATAATAGACAACACATATTGGTAACACTTAGGAACTCAAGCTCTATAAATACTTTTTAAAAAAAAATGAATATGATGGAATTCTACAGTGAAAGATCATATATATTTAAACACTGCAGTCAACTGAGACATGCAGTCCTCTCACTGCTGGCAGTATTTAGAATTATATTAGAATTATTTGACAGAGGTTTTGACCACCTTACAGATTCAGTCAGATACAGGCCAGGAATCCAAAATTAGATTTAAATGTAAATGGGGAAGAGAGGTACCAGCTGTAAAACCACATTCCTAGAACTGGGACCCTGCGATAGTTCGAATGGAGAGAGTCACTTTTGGGGAGGGGAAGGGAGAGCAGAGAGAACTGGGAGGGACAGTTCAAGGTTTTAGAAAATGAAGTTTTCATTTTAACAGGTAATGATATAGAAGAATTTCAAAATTGTGGCAAAGCTCCAAGAT